GCCCCGGCCCCGCTCAGTGCCGAAGCAGAGCGCAACAAGGGGAAAGAGAGCCAAGCACCGTGTGTCTCGGCCGCCCGGGGAGCTCTGCCTTCCTGCCCGGGATTTAAACACCCGTAAGCCCTCTTTTTCGGATAAAGTTTCCAAGTTCGGCTCGCCTACAAACTCGATTTAAAGCAGTAAATAAAGTTAAATGCTTTTTATTTTCCTCTCGAATATGTTAAACTACTTGAACAATTTAAAGTGCTTTGCAGAAGTGAAGCGAACCATTTCTAATGTTCTGATTTTTCAAAGCCAGCCAACAACAAAGTTTAGATTAGTAATATATTTCTAACCAGAGTAATTTTCAAGATCATTAGGCATTTATGTAATTAGTGCCAAATCTATAAGCTTTTATTACGATTATTAGAGTAAAATCAGTATAAATTTGTACTAATTTACTACTGTTTAGACTTGGCTGTCAAGCCAAGAGGTTCTTATTGTAAATGATAACTGAGGAAATTAAGTGCAAAATTCTGTACCATTTCTGATCCGCTCCTAAACAATCCGTTTCAATTGTATTTGTAGCAGAACATAATGCCCTTTTAAAGTTCTTTGACTTGTATTTTTATTTGCAAAACAAGAAAAATACCCTCTACCCGAGCACAATGAAAACTGATATTTACTACTTCCAACTTGATTAGCATTGATTTTTAATTCAAAAGTGATGCAATTAAGATTATTCATTTAGTGCAAATAAAGCTTCCACCAAAAAGCGAGCCTAGTGAAGTCTGTGTTAAATAATACGGCGCCAATGGCTTTTTTTCCTGCCATCCAATTGACTTACACAAAACATTGTAAATACTGCATGCGAACAGATGCAAGAGTGGTTTTGTTTGCAGCTCAGATGTGCAGGGGGTTCGGCAGCGACTGAACAAGGAGACAAAGGAACCGGCCGACCGATCTCTAGGGCAGTTTTGCTGCCTTTTTTTCCCACCTCCTCTCTGCTCAGGCTACATTGATTCAATTCTGTTTTCGAGACGTCGGGCTGTTGCAAACAACCTGGGTGCTCGGGAACTGCCGCTTAAGAGCAGGGAGAGAGACCCAGAGCCAGGCCACAATTTAGCCGGAGACAGAGACAGAAAGGAAGAGGTGGAGGTGGGGTGGGAGTTTCGGGATTTTTCTGTTGTTGTTGTTTTGTTCCTGGCTGGATGGGGGACTGTTGAAATGGCACATTTGCTGTGCTTTTTTCCTTTGAAAATTGTTGTCTGTGTGGACCTCCAGGGCAGGAGGGAAGGACCCGTCCGTGAAAATTGCTGCGCGGTGTCCCCCGGCCCGCTGCCTGGCGTCGGGACCCGCGGAGCGGAGCCGGCGGAGTCGCCGGTGGGGACACGCGGGCGGCGGGACACGGGCAAAAAGGCGGCGCGGGTGCGGCGCGGAGCCCGGGCCGGAGCGGTCAGGGGCTGGCCGGGGCGCTTGGGGTCCAGTTTGTCTGTATTTACTGGCACAAGCGTGCGGGCGCTGGACGCGCCGAGCGCAGTGCGAGCAGGGTGGCACGGCTTGCGTGTGCATCTATTCCGTGTTGTTGTATGTTTCAGGTCGATAAATAAATGTGTAATAGTTAATGTGCAGAGACATCAGAGTAATAACAATGGGATGAAATCAAAGGATTATCAATCTCTGTTAGTAACTGCTGAATAACAATGTTGCGGTGTGATTGATAGCGCGCTTCATTTTATGACTTTTCTATTGCTCTTGATTTTTATAGCAGTATAAACAAACTAAATCATTTCTTCGAAGACTTCAGAGCGCAATCGTTTTAAGGGAAGAGGAGAAATCAGAGAAGGAAGTCTGGGGGAGAGAAAAGAGCGGGCAGGGCTGACACTTAAGCGTGTCAGAAAGAAAATGACAATGGGGCATATGTAAAATACCCTAGTCGCATTCCACTTTCGCTCACTCCTGTTTTGTCAAGTGTCCGAATTCACCAGGGCAGCGTCGGAGGTGTATTTACAAGAATTTTATTTCTCGTCATCTTTCCATTTTCCCAGTGTAGCCAGAAAACTGCCAGTCAAGTCCATTCTCTGTTACAATTTACGGTATTCCCCATATGATCATAGGAACTGAAGTTCCTAACAAGGAAAGGCTTTAACACAATGGCCAAAAATCTTCAGAGTGACACGAGTGTCTTCAGAAATCACTTCAGAGCAAAGTAAAAGGATTTTCTATGACGGATCCAGTGATTTTTCCTCAATAAATAGGTTTTAGATTGTTACACACACGTAGAACTGGAACAAAGGGCAGTACCAGAAAATATATTGGTTGCCCCTAATAAAATTTATTTAGACAGTTTACTTCTCATAAAAAATAGAGATTGAATTTCGTACAGGAGCGCCTGCCAAGAGGCTAGGCACGGGGAGATCATCTCCCCCCGCACGCTCTTTTGCTTTGCTTTCCCTTTCCACCCCATCGCTTCCTTTCCCTGCCCTGCCCGGCGGCGCCCGGTGGGCCCGATCCCCTGGTCCCGGCCGGGGCAGGCTCTCCCTCTCCCCTGCCCAGCCCCCCCACCGACTCAAGCCGATCCGACCGAGAGAGGGCCGCGGAGCGGGGCGTGCTGCATTTGGGAGCAATATAACCCTAATTCTCCAGAGCTGTGACCCTGGGAAGAAAGGGTAGAGAACTTTCCAACCCCCAGAGCTCCCCCTCTCCCATCCCCGCTAAACTCAAGCCCTGATTGAATGAGGCTGTGATATAAACAAGAGTATTTAACCAATTCTGCTCCGATTTAGGAACAGAACCTTCTTTTATCAGAATAATTATATTTGTAGCGAGGAACACAGTAAAATAAGGTTAAACTGCTAAAGTCAGCAGAGTGGCTTGGCATAAACGGCTGATAAGATTTGTAATTTGATATTTTATTTATGTATTTCTTGAGCATCCATGCAGTTAAGGTGGCTGCTGTATGCAGAGCACCGTAATTGCTTTTTACAAGTAGCAACGCTCACAGCGTTTACCAAATCTAACTTTTGGTTGCCTGGCTTGTTCGTGCGGCTTTTTTTTATTCTTATTATTTTTTCCTTCCCCCTCCTTTTATTTCCAGATAGTAGTGCTGAAATATCGGATATGATTATTCTCATTCCTGCTGTTCAGTGCTGCATTGTAATATTGTTCGCTTTAATGAGAAGCGCCTCCCTCAATAATTAACGACCTCACATTTCCCTATTTTCTTGCCTGATGAAAAGAATTAATTTTAATTCATTGTAAATTACAGCTATGCTTTTGAGTGTTATTTGCTTACTTTTCCACATCGACATACCCTAAACACAAATGACAAATCAAACTATATCCTTTCGTTAGGGGTAATTTGGAGTTAAGAAATGGAAAAACATAAACACGTGTTTTCATTTCAATCAACCCTCTCGAAAATATGACTTCTTTGGAAACGAAGGACAAGGCTGCCAGCAGCTACAGACCCAATTTATTCATTCTAGTCAGAGCTAAACGTGGCGATCATCGCCGCTTTGCGACATTAGGCTGTATGCAGCATTTTGTCGCTGCAATAAATATAGTTCTTTGAAAGCAACTTTATGAAGTTTATAGGCATCCGAGGCAAGAACGCTCGCAGCTGATCAGAAACGCAGCCGTCAGGTGTCCCGAAAACAGCCTCTCTAAGGTCAGCGAGGAGAGCTCGGGTCCCCTGACACCTCTTCTCAAACACTGTTAAGATCAGCATTTTCCCATTTGCTTATTTATCTAAATATCTGCATCGGGATCCGGCGGAGCCAAAGGCAGCCCCTCCGACTGTCTCCTCGCGGGTAGACTGTGGGTAATCTCTCGACAGTGAAGCGGTTGCCTTAGATTGAAAGGATGGCTTCTATCAATTAATTTTCATCAGAGCAATGACAACCAGTCTTTTATGGGGAAAAAGCTATTTTAATATAAAGGTATGCCTGCCACCCCTGCCCGCTCTCACCCGATCAGATGGAAACTCTTTATACACAAAAGTCACCTCCCTCTCTCCATCCAGCTTCGTACTCATGCATGTATTATGTATGTATAGGGTTTTGACATAATATTAAGTTCATAAACTTAAAAACGCGGAGCCCAAGCATAACGCACTGGGCTGTAGCTTATTCAGTCGGACAGGAATTATCGGGGCTGCCCCGAAAGGCGAAGAGAACGCCGGTAT